CTCTCTCTCTCACCCACTCACTCTGCATCTCCTTCTTCGCTCTCTCTTCTTCACTCTTTTTTCCCCAGGACTTTTTTGATAAGGCCCTACATTGTCGTGTTGTGATGTTGGGTATTCGAAGGCATATATGCTCCATGAATCTCTTCTCGTGAGCGTTACACAGAGTGAACCGTAAGGGATCAACAACGATCTGAAGACTCCATAAATATTGACTAAGCTCGATAGTTAACAGTAGTTAATTGATTATCTTACAGTGAAAGCAGAATTCTCATCAGCCAATGCTAAGTGCACTCCATCCACAGAAAGTCTCATTTGTCGATACTTTAGTCTACAAGATAAATTATCAAGATACGATATTTAGAGAGAAGTATAACACCAACCGTTCCTCTGATTCACAAGGACGACCCGGTTGCGATCCTTTAGTACATGTAGCAGCCGTTTGACCATGTTGGCAGAACTTGAAACGTTCGGGAACAATTTTTTCTTCGTCTTTAGCAATCACTAGCAGCAGTAAGGTGTCGAAGAAGTTTGCAAGCGATATTATCTTGAAATTTGCTCATTAAACACGAAAGATTGGGTTTGCAAGTTCATCGGTCATACAGATATTAAAATTATGATCTGAGCTAAATGGGAGAAAGATTGTGGGGTACGACTGAGGGCTGAAAATGCTAACTTGTGAAGTGCTTCCTAAGCATCCTCCGACTTCACCTATAAGTATCTCCATAAGCCAACCGTATTCAACAACGGCCATATCCCACGGACAATCTTCAGAGGAAAACATCGCATGGCCTCTGAAGAAAAGTTCTTTCAAAATCTTTATCAACAAAGAATAGCGTAACGCATAAACAGCATGAAGTTACCTAAACTGCAAACCAGAAAGAGTCAAGTATCCGTCACTGTGAGTTGCAGAGATTCGTTCAAAATAAGCAGCACACGCTCCCACGCCAACCTAAAAGAGGATCAAATCGAAAATTGCTTGAGATCTTAATGGTGATGTATAGGTTCATACCTGGATCAGTGTCTCACTGTAGCCTTTTTTAATGAGAACGGCTACTTCCTCCGTGTATAAGACCGGACACAGCTCTGTAAAATTTTCGTATATTTGATAATGTCTTCGGTCAGCTATATAAGCGAAAAGTAAAACATAAAATAGCATACCTTCCTCGCCGGAGCAGGGGCTATAGGTAAGACAGTGCGCTCTAATATTGTACACCCTCATATCAAAAGTCACTTCCATTGGCCGATACTTCTCTACGGGAGCGTTTGGCGGGACTCGATTGTAAATTGACCTGTTCAATACAGGATCTTCTGGTTGGGTGACATCAGTCATCTGAAAAAAAAA